CATCACCCAATTCTGTAATGGAAGTCCTAGGTTGCTGTCACAGATTGAAGAGTATTTGAGGGGGAAGGAAGTCACAAATGATGCAAAGAAAGCACAGCAGGCACACAAAAAGAAGGCAAGAGGTTTGCACACCAATAGTAGATCAACCAGCACCCCTACCAGCAAGGAGGCAGAGGAGTTGGACCAAGGAGAAACTACAACACCAACCCAAGATTCGAGGATGTCACATGTTGATGCTGGAGAAGAAGAAGGAACAGACTCTGGACCTAAGAAAAAGTGCGAAATCACCATGTAAAAGTATTCATTAATGGATAATATATAAAAGTGATCCATCAAAATTCTCCATACGGATCACTTGACGGATCACTGTGGTACATTTCGTACGTGCGGGCGTATGACGGATCACTTGACGGATCACTTACGGATCACTTCTGATGTAGAATCCTGTAGAATTATGTACGACGGATCACTTGACGGATCACTTGACGGATCACTTTGCGAAATGCACGCTTCAGCTCAAAATCATCAAAATGAGATTGAATCATCCAGCGCTTGTTACTCGCACAAAACATCGATTTGAAGACAACAATCAGCCAAGGATCTCAACAGCTATGCTAGGTGCTGCTAGCGTTTGATTTTGTTCTACATTTGGGCAAGAATTGATGGTTTCTCGAATACTTTTAGACAACAGAACGGAGATTGGGGAAAGTCACATGGCCATCAGTCAAGAACTACGTCGAATCGAAGACAATAATCAGCCAAGGATATCAACTAATATATTAGGTGCTGCTAGCGATCGTTTTCGTTCTACATTTGGGCAAGAATTGATGGTTTCACGAATACTTTTGTACAACAGAACGGAGATTGGGGAAAATGATGGGAAATTCCAGTCACATGGCCATCAGTCAAGAACTACGTCGAATCGAAGACAACAATCAGCCAAGGATATCAACTAATATATTAGGTGCTGCTAGCGATCGTTTTCGTTCTACATTTGGGCAAGAATTGATGGTTTCACGAATACTTTTGTACAACAGAACGGAGATTGGGGAAAATGATGGGAAATTCCAGTCACATGGCCATCAGTCAAGAACTACGTCGAATCGAAGACAACAATCAGCCAAGGATATCAACTAATATATTAGGTGCTGCTAGCGATCGTTTTCGTTCTACATTTGGGCAAGAATTGATGGTTTCACGAATACTTTTGTACAACAGAACGGAGATTGGGGAAAATACAATAAAATACGGTCACATGGCCACAATCAATAACTATGTCATAGAAACCGACACCTAACTATGTCATAGAAGTTTACTGTATTTTATTCGCTTTTGTTTTGTGCTTCATAGAGTCGTTACCATACTCATCTTCTGTAGTGGAAGGTCATTTGCATTTGCTTCTGCTTTGTTCTTTTTTTGTCTCCGATTCGTGCATTTTCGTTTTGGAAAACTCGCGATATTTGCAGCAGCAAAAACAACAACCACAAAAACGATGGAAGACGAATTGCATCCCGAGGTGAGGAGTGACCGCACTGTGATTCAATCTCCAAAGGGATATAGTTGTTTTTGTGGTCAGAGAGGGAAAAAAGGTTACTTCAAAAGGCACCTCCAATCGAAACAACACAGGCTAACATCGGTTGCACTTGAAGACATCATCTTCGAGCAGAAAGATGACCCCATTTGCAAGAAAGGATACGTCTGCCATCCATGTCAGAGATTTTTTGGTGACAAGTCCAATTTTGTCAAGCATTTCTTAAGGAAGGAAGATGACACGGCTGCATGCAATGGAAACAGGGTTGACACACTCCAAGAATGTATGGTCTATGAGACATTACATTATTGTCGACCAGTTCCACCACTGCAATCTGGAGACTTGCTTGGTGACAAAGAAATATCCACCACAATCCATGTTCCTACCCCCAGTTCCAATATCACCAACAGTGCTACTGGATCGGCAAACATGATTGCACGGGATACTATTAAAATGACAATCAACGCAGGCAAACAATTGGCAAAGCAGCTAGTTCAAGACTATGGTGCGCACGAAAGAATGGTTCGGATCATTCAACCATTTGTCCTGTCAAGCATAGAGGCCACTCCACTGTTGGATTTTTTGAAAACTGGAAACGAAAAAATGAAAGAGACGCCAAGCCATTTTATTGCCGGTGCTGAAGAATGGTTGATGGAACATTCTGCAATGATGATTGGACAACTGATGGGGAATGTCCGGCATGAGATTGTTGCATTTCGGGTGGAAACAGAGTATGAAAGCATTTTCACCTGTCGGGACAAGACAGGGCCAATCCTAACTGAATTAAAAAAAATTATCCAATACACGTGGAGATCCTTTGGCCTGCCTTCCGGTTTTGTTGATGAACATGATCCAACAGAAGTTCCAAGGTATCTGCACCTCCTTGCAGTACAATCAGGGCAGAGTGTCATTCACAAAGTACCTGCAATTCTGAAGTTTCTATCCTTCAGAATCTTCAGTGGAACCAAACAATTAAAAGGTTCTTTTGTGATTGGTAGCACCATGGCTACACTCCTCTATCTCTGCAGACTAGGATCTCTTTGTGTTGCATACCGGATGTGTGGTGAAAACTTTATTCAAAGACAACTTGACTTGTGCCGGCAAGTCCAATGTGGTCAAGTGGTACAAACAATCTCACCACTGATCCGTCAGCTACGGGAGTTTGAAAAGTTTCGAAAAACTCTTAGAGATGGAGACTATATAACAAATGAAGGAGATATCTTTGTTGGTGGGAACAAATTTGAAAAGAAAGTCTGGTCTAGGCTCGTGCCAAAGATTGAAGACCGTCTCTGTGACCTTTTTGGTCAACTTCTGATTGGGAACGGGCAACTTTTGCTTTCTGTCTTGCTGGATCCAGCTACCAGTCCAAAGACCACATCTCTTGATGGTGGATTTGGATTTCAAGTGACTGATCAAGTTGGATCAGCTAACTTTTGCTTTGAAGCAAATGAGACTGTGATGGAAAAGATTCACAAGCTAATACAACTTGTGTTCCACGGTCTTGGATTTGGTGCAATGCGGTTCCAAGAGATTCTTGAAATGGAGGATTGTTCCACACCCAGATTTTTTAACAATCAGATCTGGTAATGGGCGGAAACAAGGAAGCGAGCAAGTGTATTTTGGACATCACATGGCTTTGTGGAAAGGAGACTACCCTGGTCCTTAAGTCGGCTATACCTCCTATACCGTCTTGCAAAAAAGAGGACCGGTTACAAACCCAAGGCTGGAATCAAACCAACTCAGACCGCTCAGGAGATCTTTGAATTGTCTGAAGCACCATCAATGCTTGATCTGCGTCATGTTTGGACAGATATTGCAGCCCATGTTTTTGAGTTGACGGTTGCTAAAGGAGAGTTGGATCATATTTCAACACAAACTGGCCACTCAACACAAACACACAACTTGCACTACAAAACGGAGAGGCCATTGGATGAAATGTTTCATACTTTTCATAAGAGTTTAGGTGAAAGGGACTGCCACCTCCACAAGTCAACCTTGGACATGGGTGACTTCAAAGCAGCACTGATTTCTATTTACGGTGCCAATGCAAATTATTTGGAGGGGCAAGAAGATTTCTTACGATTGATTTTGGAAAACCAAAACAGCAATATACATGGTACTATCCCCTGTGGAAGAGGGAAGAGTTTGACGTTTTTCCTTCTTGCAAAGGCGGCAATTTTGAGTGGTGTCAATGATGGTGTCAGCTTTGTTGTTCTTCCATACAAGTTCCTGGTGGATCACATGGTTCAAGTTGGAGAGCGGATGGGTCTTGAGACGGTGGCTGTTCAATGTTCCAACATAGCAAAGGGGGCCACGCCTAGTCCATTGGTAGAGAACATTCCTACCATTGTATTTTTTACTGTGGACTCATTTGCAAAGATGATGAGTGACAATGGAGGCAAGCTAGAGCAATGGTGCGATGAAGGTATTCTACGGCGTATCTTTCTTGATGAGATTCACTTGCCTTTCATTGAGGTGGGTTTTCGCAGAAGCTATGACTGTTTTCCACAAATTGTTCCCAAATTTGTGTCAAAGGGAATACAAGTCATTACAATGAGTGGCTCGCTTTCAATTGGGGTAGAGGCTGCGACCCAGAAGTGGCTAGGCACGAAGAATTGTAAGAGTCGGCGGACAGCTAGTCTTGGTTTGGCTGGTATACCCATCCATGTTAAGCCGATCCCAACAGGTGATGGTCTCCAATCTGTGATTCAAGACAGACTTAAATTTGGGCACATTCATGTATTTTGTTGGACAAAGAGAGATTGTGCTAAGATCTATGATTGCCTGTTGGAGATTGTCACTTTGAATCAGATTGGAGTTGTAACATCGGATACAAGTGAGGAGGCTAGACAGGGGGCAAGCAAAACGTGGTTCAACGGAGGCTGGAAGATACTTATATCAACCACATGTTGTTTGGTTGGTAACGAGAACTTGAACTGCAAGACGGTCATTTGTTTTGGTCACATGTACAACCTGGCTTCACTCATCCAAGCTATGGGCCGTCTACGGGTCAACCAGCGTAATGGCTGTAAGGCAATTTGTTTTCTTGATGTTGACAAGGAAGTAGATGCTGCTTCCGATCTTATGGCGCATCTATCCTGCTGCGGTCTTCTGAGTGATGCAGTCAGGAAATTTGTTGGACCCACATCACTTAACAATTTTTACAGAACAAGTGAGTGCAGGATTGCCTTGGCAACAAAAGAGTTTGGTGCCAGACTAGTTCCAAATTGTGGTGAATGCGACAACTGTGTTACCACAAGGATCCAGGAAAGAAAAGTCAATATGAACTGTGATGCCCAACAAAAACATGAGGCAGAAGTGGAAATAAATCGGGAGTTTTCATCGTTACGTGACAAAATGGATGCAGCATGCGTTGTCTGTGAGCGTGTATCATGTAAAGGTGAAGATTGTATGACTGGTAGATGTCACATCTGTGGCATTGAAGGGCACAATACCAAAGAATGTACTATGAGAAACTGTAAACCGAAAGACTCACTAGAAGGAAGAGCTTGCAGGAACTGCTGGACATTTGGTCCTGATCATTCAAGCTATAAATGTAAACATCGACGCTGGAAGCGTTTGGTTCTATACAATGGATCTCCCAGGCAGATCAAACAATTGTATATGCCAACCGAGGTTGAATCGAAGCATAACATGGTGCAAATCTACAAAAAGCTTTTGGAGAAACCATGGCCGGCCAAAAGAAAAACAACCCACCCAATTGCCACACCCACACAAAAACGGAGAATGGAAGTGGAAAACGTACCTGAGATAGGTATTTGGAATGACATTGCTTGCAGAGTTCCAACAACTGCTTCCAAAAGTGTGACCAACTTTACAATATTGAAAAGTCCCAGTCCTTGCACGGTGTTTAGACTAAAGGGAAGCGAATTTAACATACACCACCCCAAGGCCCCATTATATATACCCTATAGAAAAAGAAAAGGGGAAGGGTTGGCATTTTCTTTCAAGGTTGGCTTTTTCTTTAATCGTTTCTGCTGCTTTCTGTTGTTTGTGACGGACCTATTACTTTCCACTTGAGGCCCTTTTTAATCTCTTCTTTTGCTCAGTTCATTTTTTTCTTTTTGGTGTTGACAAACTCGAACTTGAGCCCCTTTTCTACAGTAGGTTGTCAGTTCTGTTGTTTTTGACGGACAAATAAAAAAGGGGCATAGCCCCTTTTTAATTTTCTATTGCTTTTCACTTGAGCCCCTTTTCAATCTCTTGTTTTTGACGGACGAAAAAAAAAGGGGCATAGCCCCATTTGTATTTTCTATTGCTTTTTGCTTGAGCACCTAAGAAAAAGTGCGAAATCATATAGTAAAAGTTTTCATTAATGTATAATATATAAAAATGATCGGTATGACGGATCATCTGACGGATCATCTGGGTACATTTTCACCTGCATGAGTTTGATGGATCATTTACGGATCATTTGCCGATCATCTCTGGCCGTACCATCCTGTAGAGTCAGGTACTAGACGGATCATTTCCCAGATTTCACCTCAGCCTATCCACAAATTTCCAAAATCACCAAAATGACAATCAATCATCATATTTTGCCGGAGCTCTTGTTACCCATACAAAGCATGTCATACAATGAGGTCTTTTCCCAGTCAAAAATCTAATAGATGTGAGTATCCCAATGGTTTTAAAAGGTACAATTGACAAAGGCTCTCATTGAGATGTCATCTGATTCCCTTTTTTGCCAAACGTTTGACTTCAAGCATTTTCAGGTGAATTGCCATGGCTCAAGATCAACGTCCAATCAAACACTACAATCAGCCAGCAAACCCTACAACAATATCAGGTGGTCCTAATAATCGATTTGGTTCTACATTCAGGCAAGAATTGATTGATTGTTGAATACTTTTTTGCAACAGAGCAGAGATTGGGGAGAATAATCGGAAATTGAAGTCACAAGGCCATCAATCAAGAACGATGTTGAATCAAACACAACAACCAGCCAAGGACTTCACTAGATATATACAACTGCACGTTGCAACTCCCCTTCTTGTCCCCGTCTTAGGCCAATCTCCATGTTGACGTAGTTCTGTGCGCTGATGTCCTCAGTCTCTGTGGTCCCATTGTCAACATCTTTGGCCTTGATCAACTTGTCTAAGTTGCATTTGAATTCTTTGTCTTCCGATTCAAGGTCAAACATCAATTGTGGCGGTATCTCATCTTTCCCCAACCTGATGTCTCCTGTCCTTGCATCAAGGATTTTGGATACATCAGTTGTCCATTGCGCCATTTGTTCTTTGACCACGTCGGTCTATTTCTCTGTTTCTGTGATGTTCTGGACTGTGTCAGTCGAGATTGGGCGGCCACTATATGTCATCATTGGACCCGTTCTGTGTGACACTCCCAACCATCGTCCTATTTTGTTTGTTCCCAGGGCGCCGTCCGTTTGGTAGTATACCCATCCATGAATCGTAAAGTCCATGTATTCTGTAATGTCCGGCGTGATGCCAGCTATCACTTCAAGCGGTACTCGTCCGTCAGAATATCTTGAATAGTTGGCGGTGATGTTCATGGTATCAACCACATAATCGAGCACAACTCCCATAGCCGTTCTGGTATCAAATGCTTGACTATCAATCTGTAGAATCGTCGCTTGAGCTCTCTGACCCCCCCTTTGGCTGGGTTTTCTTCCGGTCGGTATGGTCTGGAGATGTGATAGTTAATCGCGGCTCTGTTGATCGTTTCCATAAAGCTCGTGTTGTGTCCCACTTGTACTGCTGCTCCGCCCATCGTGAGGTGCTCTGGTATACCGTAGTCAGCTATGAATTTCTTGAGGGTCGGCCCAACTTGCTTGTTGTCCACTTTTGAGAGATGATGGCAACTGTAGAAACCGCTCTTGTGGAAATAGATCTGACTTGTGATGTTGCCTTGTATCGACTTGTGGTTGAAATAGGCTGTGTCGGTTGAGAACTTGCCTTTCAGTCTTGGTCTTAGGAACATGCGGTCTGCTCGGTACCTCCTTGCCAGTGGTAGTATGGCGGATCGTGTTCCCCTTTGAAGTGTTGATCTCAAGGTGGCGTGTGCTCTGTGCAAACCGATTCCTAGTCGTTCAGATAGGTTTTCTGCCGTTGCTTTGGTGTGTCGTTCCGTGGATACAAAGGACGGCCTCACAGGTACATCTGCAAAATTGTTCATTATTGTCCATTTGTCCAACTTGTTGGAAGAATCTCTCCCCATCGACTATTGTCTGCTGTACTGTGCGCCATTCGTTCATTCCTTGCATGATTGGATCCAATTGTCTCAATTTAGCTTCGTTGGATCTTGGGTCATCTATTGGGTCTTTGTGGACAATTGAGACTTTCCCAAGTTGTAATGTGAGGGCAATTTGCAAGTTCTTGATCAGTTGGGGCCCTTGAGTCAAATAGTAACTTTGTCCCCTTTGCCTTGAGTGCAACGAATATTGGCTTGGTTTTGATGTCAATATTCCTCATCTCATCAAACGGATTATCCCATAGGGGAATTCGGAACTTGCGGACTTGGTTCGGGTTGATCAATGAATGATCTAACCGGTTCCCATAGTAGAGCGCTTTGTTAAATATCAATATGAACGTGTTGCCGCTCTGTGGGCAGTCATAAGCGGTCGCCCCAGATACAATTGGTACATTGGTTGGTGGTAGAGCTGGGTCGTACGCGTACACATCCGCCGATCTTGGTGTGTAGCTCATGATAACAACAAGTGTCGGTGTTAGTATCCATTTCGTTGCTCACTTATCGCGTTTCAGGTTCTACCGCTTGCCTGTTGGTTGTTTGCCTGTTGGCTGTGTCCGCCCATTGCTGTAGTTCCAGTTGTTCCCATAGTCACTTGTGATATCTGCGTGGCTGCTTCGGCTGGAATTGCAGCAGGTACGTTGTTGGATCTAATCGATGCTACTTCAGCTCGCAATTCCGCCAGCTGCGTTTCCACTTGTTGCGTTTGTGCGGCTTGTCCCGTTGCCCTTCTTGCTGGCAATCCTTGACTTTCTCTGTATGCGGCTCTTTCCTTCGCCATACGCTCGCGTTGCTTGTTGGTAAAAGCTTGTAGGTGTGTCCGAGAGAAACAGTAGCTAGGATGGTACCAGATCTTCTCTCCATTACTCAGAGTAATTTCTTCTTCGTCGCGACGTTTGTTGCCTCCTCCATCGTTTTGGCTTCTGCTTCTGTCGCGATCGTTGTCAGCCCTAGTTTCGCCCAGGTATCGTCCCCTATCGGTTGCATTGCTGGTTCCCTGGGGAATCTATTCTCTCACTGCAGTTTGGTAGATTCGTAATGCTGTCATGAAAGTCATCAACATCGGTCTTTTTTCCAATTTCAGTATCAATTGCCGTCTTGTTCAGTTGTAGGAATGGTGCTGTAACCTTGCTTTGCAGGTTACGCAGTTTCATTGCGTCTGAATGGACTTCTCTCCCCTCATGTTTGTTGCATGTTGCATACGCTTTCTTTAACATTCGTTCAAACATGGACCAGTTCATTTTTTGTTTTTCGCCAACGTAACACAGTTCTCTGATGGTGTGTTTGGCTTTGACAATGTCGCTGGCTAGTATCCCTTTGCCTTTGTCGTGGGTACGTAGTGCGTTGAATGCTTCTCTTCCATTGCCTGCAATGTTGATGGCTTGGAGAGTCGCTTCAGCTTTGGTATTCCCCACAATAAACTTGCTGAGAAGGACTAGGACTTTGGCGTTATCC